ATATTAAATTATTATGAATTTGTTATGAAATAGGATTTCTAGGTTTATTGGGCAACATAGTTAGAATACATTGACAGAAATAATAATAATAAATTATTGTTAAATTAAAATTAAGGATAATAAGGTTTGTTTTAATGCCGCGTAAACAGTCTTCCTTTCCTTGTAACCATGGTCCAAAGCGATACGACGCCAGTACTGCTTTTTCATGAGAAGCTGGCCACGTTTCATAAATTTTAGAATAAAAAATGCTGTTTTTGGTCTTCAGTTTCGTTTAAATAAATGGAAAAGTAGATCTTTCATAAAATAATTTTTTGGAAAAAAAATTTAACCGACTTCAAAAAAGGTGCAGTGAAAAGTATGAAATAATTTCTAGTCAGTTTATATGAATACGCACTAGCTCTAGATATAATTGCTTAAAAGTATGGAAAAATGCAGTGAAAAGTGTGAAATAATTTCTATTTAAATTGCATTTTTATACACCATCGTTTGATGAATTTGGTTAAATAATTAAATATATCATATTAAATGCAATGCACTTTTTTCGGGGGCGGCGCAAAATTTAGAATTAAGTATATCAAAAATTGCTAAACTTGGTTTAACTTTTTGTCGGACAAACAAAAAATATGGTTTTTAATTATTGCTATCATTACATCCACCATAGACATCATATTCATTAACACTATTCAATATCGCCGCCCCCACCAAATACTATCCCAAACCTACTCAGACAGTATTTCCATGGGTAGAGTATACAGGGTGTCGTTGAATTAGTGTAAGAACCGGAAGTGGGGGGTAGCTGAGACAATTCTGAACCACAATTTCCTTTGCGGATAGTGCTTCGTTTTCGTTAATAATTCGACACCATTCGCAATTTTTGCAAACGAAATCGTAGTTCAGAATCGTCTTAGCTATCCCCAAAATTAAATATTATCAAACTTGGTTTAACTTTCTGTTCAAGGAACAAAAAAATATGGCCTTTAATTATTGCGATTACCATATCCGCTTTAGACATCATATTCATTAACACTATTCAATATCGTCGCTCCCACCGAATACTATCCCAAACCTATTCATACAGTATTTCCATGTGGAGAGTTTATACATTAGCAGTAATCAATATGGCCGCCAGTCCCCTCCAAAAAAGCCCCAAATCTACTCACACTATATTTCCGTGTACATACTATATACATTAACTATTAATTCTACATAGACAATAAACGTATATACATTGATAGCATTCAATATTGCCGCCTCTACCAAAAACTAACCCAAACCGGAATTAAAAAGTTTTTACATCTGCGCCGCCTCCGAAAAAGGTGCACTGCATTTAATACGATATATTTAATAATTTAACCAAATTCATCAAACGATGGTGAATAACAACGCAATTTAAATAGAAATTATTTCACACTTTTCACTGCATTTTCCCATACTTTTAAGCAATTATATCTAGAGCTAGTGCGTATTCATATAAATTAATTAGAAATTATTTCATACTACTCACTGTACCTTTTTTGAAGTCGGTTAAATTTTTTTTTCCAAAAAATTATTTTATTAAGTCCTGGAGATGACTCTAAACCAAAGAGTCGAAACGTAGTATAAATAACAACTTAATGGAGTACTCAAAATTCTCGAATGTTAAAATGTAAGGGCTGAACGCTATACAGGGTGTTTCAAAAATTTTGGAGGTCCTTGAAAAGGGTGGTTATTTGAAACAATTTTTCCTTAGCGAAAATGGTGTTCGTGGCTTCGTTAAGGGGATATTCCAGAAACAGAAACGCACGACTAATCGGAGCGGAGCCTACGCTACCGCAGACGTTCACGGTATACTCGTTAATCACAAAATGTTTCTTTTACACGACCAACTAGCAGAAATGTTCGACAAGATGCAAGAGGTTTCACTACAATTTATCAAGCTATCTCGACGTAATCGGCAAGCATACCTAAAAATCACGGCTTTTTGGTAAAAAAAAAAAACAGGTAAAAAATGACAAATCGCAAAAAGTCTTGATAGCAGGATCACTGGAGGAACATGCTCTACAAGATGCAATAGGATTCATTCCGATTGGTCAAGCCATCTCGGCGTAATCGGTGAACATACCTCAAAAAAAAAGAAAAAAAAAAGAAAAAGAAATATATATATACATGTCGAATTGAGTAACCTCCTCCTTTTCGAAGTCGGTTAAAAAGTAGGCTACATTAATCTAGCCGCTTGTAACCGAAACTTTGACAAATTATAATCGCAGATCCATTATTAAGTAAAAACGTATTAGTGTTGTACATACTTCTTTTTTCATTTTATATTAAGTTTTATACTAATATATTAACCTTTACAGATATATCAACAAGTTATGCTGGTTGGACAGATTATAAATACTCCTACTTGGCACTTTAAATTTAAATAACTTAAAATGGCGCAAATTTGCGCAAGTTTTCTCAATTGGATATCATACCTGACATATTTCTTTATATCAAGAAACTTGACAGAGCGTGTCACTCGGTGACTATCATCTTTCTTTTCCATCCGATTCATCGAAAGATAACTAAAATTTATACCATATTGAAAAGGGAATTACAATAGTGAATCCAAAGATATTTTACTTTGTTTTTGTGGAAAGTTTATGTTTATAACATCTACTTTTACGGTAAAATGAATAACATATGAATCTATTGAGGACAAACTTTCTATGACACAATAAACATGCGCCACTTTTTCACGATATCAGGGAGCATGAAATTTCGACAACTTTGAGCCTCTGTATATCAGTAACCGATTACTATTTTTTTTAATTTCAAACGGCATTTAATGCACTCATATGTATACAACACACGCACAATATTGAAAAAAGTGTAGTCGAAAGTTCAAAAATTACATTTTGGCCAGGTTTTCGGCCATCCGGACCACTGTGGGGCGTTCGCTGAAAACAGCTTTTGACGAGTCACACTCGTCAAAGTCTACACTAGCACATCAAACGAATAGATGACCCTAACTTGTCATTGTATGTCATCGGGTTAAACTCTTCGATTTTTTCCAATTCTTTATCATACAATTCGTGTAACTGTAAGTCCATCAAAGTTTACATTTACATACAGTAAGTGGGATGTGGTTTGATAAGAGTGCAAGTGTAGAATAAAGGGATGCGTTCCACAGCCGGCAAGTGTTCCCGCATTACAGATACCCGGGCTGTTCCTCGCGATGCAACGGTCCAGAGCCGCCACGGTAACGCGAGCTCGTTCATCACGAGGATCTAATAACCCTCTACACGGAGGGCGGTGCGGGCGCAGCGACGTGCCGCCTGCACTAGCGAGATGGACGGCTCGCTTTGTTGCAGAAATTACGGGATTCCAGCCACCGGTGCCGAGTGTCCTTCGACCCCCCCGGTGCACCCTTTTTCGCTTCCCTTGGCCCGCCTAACCCTTCGCCGTCTCCGTCGCGTTGTTGTCCGTCGTTGACGATCTGCGTCGACGCGTTTTCGCGTCCTTTTGTGCTGCCTCCTTCCTTTCTTTGTCTAGGATCAGAACGAACTCTCGTCGAAGCTCCACTTCTCCAGCGAACCGCCAACCATGCTGCGATATTTGTTCGGGTCGAACGCGAGAGACGCCGAAATATGTTGCTCTCTGGTCCGGCCCAGCCTCTTTGTAGCTTTTATGCCCGTTCCGTGACGAGCGACCGCTTCCGGGACGCCTTTTGTTTGAATTGCGAGCATTCAGGGGTGAGATAGATGCTCGCCGCTGATAGAACTTCGGTGTAATTAAATTCTTTTTTTGACCGTACCGGCTGGGTTATCTCTCGTTCGAAACGTTAGATATAGCCAAGCGTCGATCAACCGAGCTAATAGAAAGATGATTCGTTTCGATGATTGATCTTTCCGGTAATCGGTTTAACAGGACTTAGAAATGTCGGATACGGTAATGAAGAATACAGTCAAGACTCTTGTAATCAGTATCAGTATTTATTATATGTGTTTCAACTATAAAGCCATTGTTATTACCCTGACGCTTTTTATTAATTATACGTTTACCACGGTAGTATGTATCGCTCACATTCTTCTTCTTTGTAACTGACTTTGAAAAGGAGGAGGTTACTCAATTCGACATGTATATACATATATATATTGAAATATAAATACTGAAATATAAATTAATGTTAAAAATGTAAATAATTTGAAGTATAGGAATTTTCCCCCTCTTCTGTAATTTTTATTTATGTAAAACATTACCGTACAAAACAATTGTTTTAAACAATATTATCATACTACATAGTGTACATGTTTTGATATTTATCGATTCTTTCTGTATCTCTAATATGTATTTGATAAGTACAAATTATTTATTTACGTACAACAAAGTAACATATAAAAACACAAGTACATTTCTTCTAACACGGTAATATCTGTACCTATATAAAATGAACGATTTTTATTTGTAAACATCAATTGTTATACCAAGCGACCTTTAATATCTTGTTATTCTGTAGTAACTAGTGACCTTATTTGTTTTTCGGTTATCGCTCAAGTATTCCATCGACAATTATCACAATTGAACTAATTATCGAAGCAATTTCTTTTGGAAACGTTTATCGTTAATACTTCATTTATCCTTGAATTAATCTTTCGCTTCTCCCTTTCAAGCAGGTCAAGTTTGGAGTAATTGTTTTCGTACTTCCACCAGAGAATAATAACGGTTTGCAAGAAAGAATTCTGTTGACTGTTTCCGTACTCCTGATTGCCGTTTCGGTATGTAAAGGTAATGCCTCGAGTCATTAAGGCTCATCCTTGTAACGTCTCCATAAATATTCGCTAATGCGTTCGCAAATGGCACGCTCCCCTTAAAGATTCATCAAACGAACTATTTTTTGTGCTATGTAATTGCACCGAACAGCAATTACAAATAAATCACTCTATGCAAAACTAGTGTGTATAAAACGAACGTGAAAATTCAGAGGATTAATTTACTTTTTATAATCATAATTTATATTTGTTTAATGTACTATTATAGTGGTTCTCAATTTCTCTTATTTTCAATTATTCTTTTTAAAGTAATATATTATCAATGTTACAATTTTTGCGTTGTTTGATATAACAATTGTGAGTGCATGATTAATAAGTTGAAAATGTATATAAATGTATTGTTCTAATTCGAAAAATATCACTTATGACATTCGTGAACGATTGATAACGTATTAAAAACGCTAATAAGTAATCAATGATTCCGAATTTTTCCCCATGTGCACTACGTATTTCACTAACGTTTTTAACAACTTTTTCATTATATTGCCGATAATTAATTGTGGATTTACAAATTCTTGAATCAAAAAGTACCTTATATATAATTCAGGTGACTTAACTATTCAGAAATGAACCATTGTTTAACCTTTTCGGTGCTCTGCGCGAGTATATTCGTCAAATTATTTTGTTCTTGTCGTGCTCAAGACGAGTTAAATCGCATGAACTTATTGTTAATAAGTTAACTCGTCTTGAGCTCTTTCATATGTAAAAAGCTCATGCGATTTAACTTGTCTTGAGCTCGACAAAAACAAAATAATTTGACGAGTATACTCGCGCAGAGCACCGAAAAGGTTAACATCCTTTTTTCAAATATCTCAAAACATCAAAACAATCGGTAACACTCGATCCAACTGTTCGCAGTGTTTCCTTTTAACCATTAGTTGATCCGTTCAACAAGGAACATCTAATCTAGACATCAGATTATGTCCTCCCCTTTGATATCGTTTTCCACTTGAATCAAGGCGTGCAAAACTTGCGGCATGCAACTAATATCCCCGTTTAATTGATATAAGTACCAATTGAAAATCTTAAAAACTCGCGAGGGTTTTGCCTTATTTTCCGGGAACCATACAATTCCGCGCGTCTATTCAATTTCCTTCTTTCATGTCGGATTCACCCTCCCGATGAAATAGCAATTATGACTCCTTCTACCCCTGGCTTCTATAATTCTTGTGGTAATTACGGGGCAAAGGAGGAGTAACGAAGGGATTCTGAAAGGACTTGGAATGCTCGCCGGCGTGCTGTCAATGCACGTTCGAGAAAGGTGGTAAGGAACGATTGAACCAAAAGAAGGAGAAGGAGTAAGAGAGAGAAAGAGAGTTGCGTCCCGCAATGCGACACAGCTTCTGATCCGACTGCAAGCTCAGTCAGCGTCCTCGAGATCAGTCAAAGAGTCCACGTGGCTTTCCTCTAATACTTGCTAATACTCGCTGTTTTATCTATAAAATAAAAATAGAAATCATAATTTTCATACAAATTATATACAGATCATTTAGTTCCTTCCATTGTACACTCTGTCGGGTCGTAGTATATTTCAACTGGCCAATTTCAATATATGTAGCTGTCAAACTTTATCGTATTTCCTGTAATACTTGCACGATTCTTCTTGTGATATTTTCATAATTACTACCAGATATCCTTCACTCAGGTAAAGTATGAGAATTTCACAACTGCAGCTCCTATTTTTGGAGAGCACCAAAATATTGCTGTAATTCGTCTTTGATAAATAATAACAATATTGATGACGGTTGGTAGCACGATCAACCTGAAATATCAAAGTAAATGCCTTACAAGGTGTCTGGAAAAAAAAGTTCGGCCCATGGAGCGTTAAAGTGTGTGAAATAAATTAGTTACCATTATTACATGATTGCACTTCGTCCATCCAGTGGCATTGATTTAACTGTAAACTCAGTCACCGTTATTGAAAAACTAGGAATTTACTTGATTTTCATATAAATTTGCTGTAACCTAGTGTACTGGTGACATAAAGGACATGTCCAATGATAAGAATGCTTCGTCAAAAGGTCATCTGAAACTCAACATATTTTACATAATTGAATTTGTCTTTTCATCAGCTACAATTTTACAATAATAAAAATACCCCATTCTAAGCGATAAAGCTCGTGATCCACATTATATTTGTCTTGTTGATTCAAAGTTACAGTTAAAGTCTGAATAAATATATAGTAAAAATTTGGAAACTTTGTGTTTTTTCATTTCGCTATAAAAAATTCTGAAAGAACCTTAAAAAACGGTCGTCACACGGGATGACCTCCTTAAAGTATAAATGCGTTCTATTTTCTGAAAGTGCAAATGAACGCCATTTGTAAACGAGTATCCGCATGACAAGAACATAAAGTAGCGAAATGATAAAAAAGCTTTAAAACGCTGATCGTTTATCCTATCGTTTGTTCATTATCTCGGAGGTATTAAATGAGTGACTCTTTTGTCGGGATGAAAACAGGCAGCGAGTTTATAAAGTAAAGAGTGGATACTTGGAAGCGCTGTAATATCTTTTGATGGCCGATACAAACAGCTTTGGTAAATTTCATTAAAAATAACATTCGAGTCTTTTATTTCACCCAAAATTATTTTGAAATAATTAAAATACCGGTTCGTTAAAAATGGTAAGTATTTCAAATAGTAAAGTTATTTCATTATTTGAAAAGTCATTAGTATTTCGAATAAACTTTGAAATTATAAATACTTATTTTAATACGTATTTGTATTTGTATTATGACTTTGAAAAAGAGATCATATTTTAATGTGAAATTTCTCGCTCTTTCCGAATCTGGCCTCAAAAATAAGGATCCCTATTTGAAAAATGAAAGTTGACCTCCGAACAACCTTCAAGGTCATGGCTAAGATCAAATCTGATGTTACAGAAAAACAGATTTTTTTCGAACCGTAAAATTGACGTTGAGTCATTTTTTTCCAATAATGCAGAGATTCTGAGATGAGGGGTGGATCCATTACTTTTTGAAAGCCTTGTATAATAAATATAATGTAACACACATACACGTGTGTGTGTGTGCATGTATTTTAAACGAATTTTGTACCACGTATAATTGAAACATTATTTTATGTCTGTCCTTATTCAAAACTTCAAAACATGTTACTTTATGTTTCTTAGCTCATTTAATTCATTATAACATAGAACATTTAGGCTTAAATAAGCAGAAAGAATAGTAAAGAACATTCTATGAACTAATAAACTATCAGCAATCCAAATATTCGACATTAATTTTATGTTTCAGTTCAATTTTTTCAGTTAAATATCATTTTAAAGTCATCTGAATATACTTCATCTGAACGTATTTTCATGTCAACTACGTATTGCGATAGAAAAAAATTCATTTGTAATTGGACCTTGAAATCTCTCCAAAAAAAAGACGTTGGAAAAAACAATTCTGTACCATTCAAATTCCATGTAAAATATTTTCTCTATCATCACAATCGGAAGAGATATTCAGGTGTTCTGGTTTATACGTGACACCCTGTATATCTTTGTAGTGCTTACGAAATATTTTATTAGATAATTTTACTCTTATCAAACAAAAATTTGGATTATAGTAGGGTCGATTTAATTCATTTTATTCAATGGCTTCTGTCAGACTTAATAATTCATAACGTCCACTATATGAAATACTTTAATTTTCTTTATAATGTATTACTTATACAAAATTACCTGTATGCAATACTAAATAGGATAATTTTTTAGACATATTGGAACTTATAGTAATTACATTTGACCTTGGAAGTTACAACAATTATAGTCAAAAATAATATCTCTGTTGAATACCTCAATGAGTAGTACTAACAATATTTGTTCTTTAAGTTTGTCAATATCTAACATAAAAAATTATGTTATCAAATATTCATTTTGTTCGGGAATTAAAGTGGACAAGATATAAAACTCTCCGTTGAAAGAGGAAAAAATGCGAATTTATTTTAAAATACCACGGTGTACAACGATTGATGTTCTCTCTGTTCGCTCGTGCGTCTTCGAGTTCTACAAATCGAAATCTGATTTCGCTTCGCCGGGTGACAATCGAAGATACCTCGCACCACCACTCCTCACCCTAGGTGCCATCCTCGTCGAGTCCAAGAGGCGCGCCCATTGGCCCTGGTTTTGGGACCAAGGCCCAATCAGGGCGCCCCGGCTTATCGTGGAACAAGGGTAGGTGGTCGCTCGGCGTCTCACGAAAAGCCCCAAGCCACTCATGGGTTTTTCCAAGCCCACGGCATGCTCGACCGCCGAGGCTCGGAACTACGCGAGATTCTAAAGACCTTATAAACGGTCACCCCTAGATGGATATTGCCGGCAATATCAGCCATCGGTTCGAAACAGCCTCGCCTCGCTAGCATGCCGTAAACTATTGTCACCTTTCGCTGTTTCTCCGCATCGCTTGAATAAAAATATTAAAGACTTATTTCTATGATTTCCGAATAACAATCGCGGTACTAAATTCATCGGCATCTTTATCTTGCCGCTGGAAGTCGAGGAAGCGCCCAAATGACTGCCTGTGCGCATTGTTCGCACTCTATTCCAAAACATCCCAAGTGTACCCTGTGTGTACCCGAAACGCCTCCCAACGGTTTCGTCTGCTGGCTTGCAACCACGGGTCGGCTTTTGGTCCTTCCCGCGCTGAGGTCGACCTTCAGTTTAAAGCCTAATCCCTATGCGAGGTCTGTTGAAGTCAGGGGATGGTCAAGCCATGCCCTCACTGAGTAGCCATGATAGCCGTGAATCGCCCTAACGATTCACGCAGATGCAGATTCGACCGCGAAGAATCGCCCATGTTCTTTACTAGCAGTCATTATCGTCCCTCCTCGTTCCATCAGGTTAATTCTATCCGGAACAATTTATTGCAAGAGGTTATAAACAATAGATTACAAGTTCTCATTATGAAGTTGTCATTAATGAAGAAAATTAATATGAAGGATAATGAAAAACTTCGGATTTTGCAATTGAAAATTTATTCGGCGCACTCGCTGTAGAGTGCATTTCAAACGTCATTTGGCTTCTGGCTCTTTGAACGGCTCGTCGATACCTTTTCCGTGCTCTCCTTTTACCTTTAAACTACTGAAACGGGTTATTCGTAGAATTAACGTCTATGTATCTCCGTCGAAGGTTTCTTTTAAAAGGAAATTGCGAAGACGTTGCTATCGAAGTTGTTTATGAAACCCTTTCAAGTCAGACTTTGCCAAGGCCCGTAAAGCGAACTTCGGTAAGTGAATCGAAAAAGGACGTAACTTGGAGCGCTGCGCCTTCTTCTTTCAGTTTTCAAAATAGTAGAAAAACCAAGGTACTTGATTCAGCTCGAAAATACTAAATAATACTTTATCTTCATAGGAATTTCCCTAAAGCAATAGTGCGCACAAAGAGTTTGTTGAATTAAAACATTCTCGATTGCTGAATACACGCCATCTTGAATATTATTCCTGGTTGCTGCTGGTGTGAACCAGAGCTGTAACAAAACGATTACTTGACCAAGTAATTGAATAATTGCCATTACAATTACTCTGTCGCATGTAATGGTATTCCTAATTACTTAATTGCTACCAGTAATCCCATGCATTACTTAATAATTCCTTATAACGACCCAGAAAGTAATTAAAAGGTGTCTCAAATCTAAAGTAGTAAAAAATACCCAAAAGTAATTAAAAAGTAATTATAATTACTTTTGTAATTACTTTCAAGTAATTGTAGTGACATGGACAGTAATTGTTAAAAGTAATGATCGGTGGCAAAAGTAGTCCAAAGTAATTAAAATTAATTAGAAGTCAGTAATCATTACTTTTAACAATTACTGTCCATGTAACTGCAATTACTTGAAAGTAATTAAAAAAGTAGTTATAATTACTTTTTAATTACTTTTAGGTACACTTAACTACTTTAGATTTGAGACGCCTTTTAATTATTCTCTGGGCAGTTATAAGTAATTATTAAAAAGTAATTGAATTACTCAGTAATTAAGAATAAGGTATTGCATAATTACTAAAAAAAAAAAAAATCAACAATTACTTAAATAATTGCTTTCTAATTCCAAAGTAATTGTTCCAAATTGTAATAAATTCCAAAATAATCATTACTTTGCAGCTCTGGTGCGAACTCATCTTTGCAAGTTCTGTTTCTAAATGCTACAACATTATCGTAATTTCCTAGAAAATGAATAATAAGAGAATAGAAAGAAATAGGAAGGAATAGTATAATCGAAATAATTTCAAGCATCTTCATTAAAGAAAATTATTCATAATATCTCAGGAGCTAATCCTTTTTTTATCACTTTACTCTTATACTTTTTTTATATAAAATAACGAAAGTATTCAATCTATGAAAGGAATATGCCATAAATATTTCCATTTAAACTAATATAAAATAATAATGCATTTATCGAATGCACATTCACCATTGCACATATACAAAAAATATCGTCCTGCAAATATAGTATTCTTTGTAATATTTATCTTTTCCCTTTGACAGTTTTCTATAAGGGCAGTGATAACGAAGTTATGAGTTGTCAAACATATTTGGCCCACCCTGTATATCAAATCATTGAATGGAATTTCTTAACTATTTTTTTCTATATGTCTCAATTAAAGCCTTTCTTTTCTTAATTTGGAAATAAATTATTCATATTGTTAGAATTGTATTTTTATAAAACTTTATTTCCTAAAGGATTACAACGTATATAATGTTAAAGGAAAGATGTCCGAAATTCACGACGACCCGTACCACTAGACTTGTTTCGACGGACTGTGATCGTCGCTTTCTGGCCCTGCTAGGACCCCACCCCTCTTTCTGCTTTAAGGAGAAACAGACCCTTTTCCTCAAGGCCCGAAAGTGGCAATCGTTGCATTCCAACACATATTATAATATTTACAATGGTAAAATAAATTCCTATTTAGGTTCAGTTTTTGTAGGTACGTTTTCATAGATTTTATTTTGCATAAAAATCCGTAATTATAACTCTGGTACTTTATTGTACTTTTCGACAATCACTGTATTAGATTTCTATACTTTAGCCAATCGTGAATGTATTAGTAGAAGCGTTGATCAAACTTATTTCATTCCTAACCCACTTTTAGCAAATTTTCGATTTGTTTATATATACGTTCCAAACGGGTATTTGTTCTTGCGCTATGAATTTTCGCTTCCCTTATGATTTATGGCCGTTCACCGCCCAACAATCACCCTTGTAAACATTCCACGCGAGGACGGTAAATGCTGACTTACAGTCGAACTTCGTCGAAAGGAGCATTTACGTGTTTATCGCAGCAGCGACAAAGGAAGTATGTTACTAAAAGTTTATGAAACACGGGGCTGTTCATTGGAACAGAGTGCCGTGAACGTGGCAACACAAATCCAGAGCTTCCTTGTCCGTTGGGTCGGGGCATTTTGCCCGCGGAAACGTTACGTTCTTACGAGATCTACACTAACGCGCAAAACTTAGCGGACAAATTTTTAAACGGTTCAAAAACATGGAAGATTTCAACCGATTGGAATTAAACTCCGTGAGGAGTAGTTTTGTAGTGTCCTCTGGGCGTGTGTAAAGTTACATGGGCGAGGGTTGATGCGAAGGGGTTAATTCGCCGCCCTAAAGGGGAGGGTGTAGAAAAACGCCTCTTTGAAACAGGCCAGGGATGACGGAAGGGGTTGAAAAATTCAAAAAAACCTTTGGGACGACTCTCCTTGATGCTCTCTACAAAATGCACCCCTTGAAATCCGACTCGGACAAACCCAACCCCCACAACCTCCCACCCCCTCTAAAATCCACAATTTTTGGACGACGGTGTCGACTTTGCGCTCAATGCATTCTTTGGACTCCCTCGATCCAGATAATGCTATCATTCATACCGTGTTCCCCATAGGCGCCCTTTGGTGGGGTGGGGGGGGGGGGGGAACACCTTGCAAATTTTCAACGCCCTTCGTAAAAAAACACTTCCATGCATCGGAGGGCGATGAAATTCACTATGTTTGTTCTCGATACGTTAACGATGAATGCCGAAAAGGTCTCGTTTCGAAGACTGCCCCCGGAGCTGAAGGGAGGAGGGCAGAGGTAGGGGTGGTCCACCCCCAAGTGTAAGGGTTGGAACGCTGTTTCGTTGCATGGATCACATGTCCAACAGTCCAGGGCATCGGGCTGACACAGTTTTGATCTCTTTTTCCAGCGTGAATAGCAATAAAATACGAAAATGTCGATTTTTTTTAAAAACTTGCTTCCAACTTCAGGCCCATCCGCAGAGTGAACGAGTAACCTCACGTCAACGTCGTTCATGGATTCGGACGCGCGAATGCTTCGTTAACAGATCCCCAAAAATCAGATTTTTTGAATCACGCTTTTGTTGTCAAATCAGAGCATATTTGAAAGAGTAGTAAGTGGGCTGGTCGGAAACGGCATTCAAAAGTGGTACGAGACCCTGCGTCCGTAGTGATCAGCCCACGTTAAATTGGAGTCCGGTCTGGTCTGACTACGTAGGGGTGCTGGCCCTCACTCCGTTTCTGAATGCCGGCTGCGTTTGGCCCACTTATTACTCTTTTAAATCTACTCCAATTTGACAACGAACGCGTGATTGAAAAAATCTGATTTTTTGGGTATCTGTTAATAAAGCATTCGCGCATCTGATAGCATGAACGGTGTTGGCGTGGGGTTGCTTGTTCACCCTGCAGATGGGCCTGGGGGTGGGTTTTCCCCCAAAAACCCGTTACCCGTTTCGTAATTTATTGCCATTCACGCAGGAAAAAGGCATCAAAACTGTGTCAGCCTGATGTCCTGGACTGTAGGACATGTAATCCACGCAGCGTGACAACGTTCCAACCCTTACACATGGAGGTGGACCACCCCTACCTCTGCTCTCCCCCTCCCTTCAGTTTGGGGGCAGTTTTTGAAACGGGACCTTTTCGGCATTCATCCTTAACATATCGGGAACAAATATGGTGAATTTTATCGCCATCCGATGTGTGGAAGTGCTCCCTTATGAAGGGGGTTGCAAATTCGAGAGCTGTTCCACCCCCCTAAAGGGTGCCTATGATGTGCACGGTATGTGTGATGGCATTATCTGGATCGAAGGAGTCCAGAGAATGCATTGAGCGCAAAGTCGACACCGTCGTCCAAAAATTGTGGATTTGATAGGAGGTGGAAGGTTGTGGGGGGGGTGGGTTTGTCAGAGAGGGATTTCAAGGGATGCATTTTGTAGAGGGCATCAAAGAGAGTTTCCCTAAAGGTTTTTTTAATTTTTTTAACCTTTTCCATTACTCCTGGCACCTTCAGAAGTGATGTTTTTCGACGCGCCCCCCTTTAAGGGGGTGAATTAACCCCTTCTCATCAACCCTTACCAATGCAACTTTACACACGTCTAGGGGGCACTTCAGAAGTACTCCTCACGCAGTTTCATTTTAATCGGTTGAAAACTCCCATAGTTACGAGGGTTTGAAAAAGTGTCCCTATCATGACTGTGTGACGGTATAATTGTATGGTTGTGTAATTAAGTGATTATGTGATTGTATAACTGTGAGATTCTTTGACTATACGATTAAGTAGTCGTATGATCGTATGACTATATGATTGTATGATCGTGTGACTGTATGACTATACAATTGTATGCATAGTTGTGTGATTATAAGACTACAAGAGTGTATGATTGTACAGTTGTGTAATTAAGTGATCATGTGATTGTATCATTGTGTAAATGTACGAGTATACAATTCTGTGATCTTGTAATCGTGTGATTGTTTGACTATACGATTGTGTAATTGTGTAATTGGATAAGTGTGCAATTATGTGATTAATTACACTAGTTTACAGCTAAAATGTACATTCAATTCCACAATTTTTTTCTTATGTACTTTGACCTACTAAATTCGAAAATCGCAAGAAAAAATTTTTCTATGTATAGGTTTTTTTTATATGAATTTTTGAAACTTTTTTCGATTTTTTTCTGACATACCTTCACATTTTAGGCCACATCTCGAGTTAGAAACGCCCGATTGAGTCGCACAGGACGCCATTTTAAAAGTAATCGAATTTCCAACAATTGCTTTTAATATTATTTTCTAATCGGTTCGATACTTTAAGTGTTCCGAGCCAATATATATGAGACAAAAACAGACTAAAATTGGAATTTTTGTACCTTTACTCAATTGTTCCTAACTCCGGTATTTATTCATAGATTTTCTTCAACAAAGGCTGTTTTCTTCGTAAAAGTGCGATCTATGCGTAAACAATAAGAAAATGGACATAATTTGACAATTTATATTTTTCCATGGCGATGGAAGAAATATTCGTGTTCTATTTTAGCCGAAAAAATCAAAATTTTTTCATATATATTGGCTTGTAACACTTAAACTATTGAACCGATTGGAAAAAATGTCAAAAGCAATTGTTGGAAATTCGAGTACCTTTAAAATGGCGTCTTGTGCGACTCAAACGGATGTTTCTAACTCGAGATATGACCTAAAATGTGAAGGGATGTCAGAAAAAAACTCGAACAAAATATCCCAACACCACCATGTAACACTATGATACAAAGTAAAATCCACGAATTTTAACTGTTTCGATCACAATGATATATTTTTGAAGTACTACGAAGTATCTAATGATTAATTTCTTGAAACTATAATGAAACAATTATCAACTCTGATTTTTCTTTACCACGAATTATTTAAATAATAACAATTACTTTGTAGAAAAGTGTGTTATTGGTTCAGTTTTTCTCCTTACTATATATATACCTACTTTATGATTTATATTTTGAATCTCAAATTTCGTAAATCATATATGTTGTAAGTTAATGAGTTTATACTTCCAAAACTTCTTTGAAAAATAATTATTTTTCACAAATTGCAGCAGTTCTTTCCAACACAATATGATTAATAGAACAAGCAAATTCAGCCTGAAGCTAAAGTTCTAAATGCTTACAATCTATGAACATTCAAAAACCCTAGTAAAACAGGATAAAGTTTAGCCGTATTGCTGTGCGTGATCTACGAAGAATACAGGGTGGCCCACATAACTATTAACAGCGCAATATCTTGGAAACTATACCATCGATTTTAAAGTTCTTGGTCTTAAATTGCATGGATCTAAAGGGCTTTTCTAGCTACATAAACGTGAAGTGGCTCCCCTTTCCCCTACAAGAGGGGCGGGGTACGTTTATAATTTTAAATGAAACTCCCTATAAAACGTTACATATTTAGATTAAACAGGATAAAACAAGTAAATTTTGTTTGAAACATTTTTTTGTTAAATGTTTCCATAATGATATATAAGAATTTATAGTTTCGATTTGTAGGTACCTAGTTAATGCGCTTGGAAATAGCATTATTGAATTATACGGGCTTGAATCCTTTACTTACACTTGAGGAAACCAAAATAATGTGTATTTACAATTCTTGAGTTTGACTCAATTATGTACAGTATATAAGTATATACAACATATACTCTATATAATTTATATAATTAGCAAAGTGTTAATCGAATTATCAAATGTCAATCAACGTTGTCAAGCGTGTTCATTCATTTATTATTATTTGAATAATATTCTTCGACGTCTGGTTGATAATTCTCATACGTACCATGTGGGCTGATGGGTTTCAGCACGCGCAAGTAAAATTGAGGGAAATCAAGCTCGGTCGAAATGATTTGTCATTGGCTTGAATTTCGACGTGTACAGGCATAAATTTCGACACACGGAAGTAGAGAAATCGTGTGTCATCGTGCGACATTTCCAGACTGAACAATTTATGAAATTGCAATATCGAAGTAGCTCAACGCTTCAGCGTTTCGCGCTGCCACTTCCGCGGACGAGATTGTAAAAACTGCACGTTGCGTTCGCTTTCATCTGTCATTCGAATGTTTACGATGGGTTTAAAACGGAATAATCGATAGAGTTCAACGAATTTATTGCTAACATTAGAAAAATATGTAAAACGAAACGAAACAGTATTTACTTGACCTCAGTGCTCGCTACTTTTCTTTCCATATACAGGTTATCCCAAAAATGTTGGAGGTTTTTAAAAGAGGTGGTTTGGGGGATGATTTAAAACAACTTTTTCCTTAGGGAACTTTTTCCTTAGGAATTGTCCCTTTTCCTAAGGCAAAAGTTGTTTTAAATCACCCCTCGAACCACCCTTTTCGAGGACCTCCAACATTTTTGAAACACCCTGTATAGTGTTCAGCCCTTACATTTAAACATTGGAGAATTTTGAGCACTCCATTAAGTTGTTATTTATACTACGTTTCAACTCTTTGGTTTAGAGTTATCTCCAGGACCTAATAAAATAATTTTTTGGAAAAAAAATTTAACCGACCTCAAAAAAGGTACAGTGAATAGTATGAAATAATTTCTAGTTAATTTATATGAATAGGCACTAGCTCTAGATATAATTGCTTAAAAGTATGGGAAAATGCAGTGAAAAGCATGAAATAATTTCTAGTTAATCTACATGAATACGCACTAGCTCTAGATATAATTGCTTAAAAGTATGGGAAAATGCAGTGAAAAGTGTGAAATAATTTCTATTTAAATTGCATTATTATTCACCATCGTTTGATGAATTTGGTTAAATTATTAAATACATCATATTAAATGCAATGCACCTTTTTCGGAGGCGGCACAGATGTAAAAACTTTTTAATTCCGGTTTGGGTTAGCTTTTTGGTAGAGGCGGCAATATTGAATGCTGTCAATGTATACATGTTTATTGTCTATGAGGAATTAATAGTTAATGTATGTACACGGAAATATAGTGTGAGTAGTTTGGGCTTTTTTGGAGGGGACTGGCTTCCATATTGATTACTGCTAATGTATAAACTCTCCACATGGAAATACTGTATGAATAGGTTTGGGATAGTATTCGGTGGGAGCGACGATATTGAATAGTGTTAATGAATATGATGTCTAAAGCGGCTATAGTAATAGCAATAATTAATGTCATATTTTTTGCTCCTCGAACAGAAAGTTAAACCAAGTTTGATAATATTAACTTTGGGGATAGCTGAGATGATGCTGAACTACGATTGTATTTGCAAAAATTTCGAATGGTGTCGAATATTAACGAAAACGAAGCACTATCCGCAAAGGAAATTGTGGTTCAGAATTGTATCAGCTACCCCCATTTCCGGTTCTTACACTAATTCAACGACACTCTGTATACTCTACCCATGGAAATACTGTATGAATAGGTTTGGGATAGTATTTGGTGGGGGCGGCGATATTGAATAGTGTTAATGAATATGATGTCAAAGTGGATGTAATGATAGCAATAAATAAAGACCATATTTTTCGTTTCTCCGACAGAAAGTTAAACCAAGTTTAGCAATTTTTGATATACTTAATTCTAAATTTTGCGCCGTCTCCGAAAAAGGTGCATTCCATTTAATATGATGTATTTAATAATTTAACCAAATTCATCAAACGATGGTGAATAACAACGCAATTTAAATAGAAAGTATTTCACACATTTACCTGCATTTTCCCATACTTTTAAGCAATTATATCTAGAGCTAGTGCGTATTCATATAAATTAATTAGAAATTATTTCATACTATTCACTGTAACTTTTTTGAAGTCGGTTAAATTTTTTTTCTAAAAAATTATTTTATTTCACTCTTTTTAGTGGCAATCTATAACCAATAGGTTTCATGCAATAACAACAGTTATGAGCAAAATACAGGATAATCCGATCCAGATTAATTCCATATTTGTATAACCTTTCAGCATTCCTGATAATCTCATTTGCAACTATACAGGGTGTCCCAAAAACGTTGGAGGTCCTTGAAAAGGGTGGTTCCGGGAGGTGGGGCGATTTGAAACAATTTTTAGCGAGAATGGTGTTCGAGGCTTCGTTAAGAAGATATTGCATAAACAAAAACCCCCGACCAATCAGAGCGTAGCATAGGCTCCGCAGGCGCTTTTCCGGCATACTCGCGCTCTGATTGGTCGGGAGTTTCTGTCAATATCTCCTTAACGAAGCCCCGAACAACATTTTCGTTAAGAAAAAATTGTTTCAACTCATCCCCCACCCCGAAACACCCCATTCAAGGACATCCAACATTTTTTGGACACCCTGTATAATTACAAATGGAATTATCAGGAATACATTTGCAACTACATGTGAAAGGATTGATTGCGTTTGGTAAATTCCTTGTCGAGCTGCACCAGAGCATAGCAATTTCGTACCAACAATGGTTTTATAAACAATAAAAGTGTCCATAAATTTTTGTAAATGGGAACATCATGAATTCATGTATCATGAAATGCGGAAAGTTCCATCGCGCTCGGTGATTTCCTCACCGAGTTACATCATATAATAGGTATTTTGCGATAACAATAATTATAAACAATACAGAAATTCATAAATTTTGCATCTGTGATCATTGCGAAAACCTCTCCGGCAGCAAAATGTAAGGGGTTTCATCGATTTCATCGGTTTCAGGCCAAACATACGTGAAATAGTACGCTTTTTGCGATAAAAAGTGATATAAAGTGGTAAAAAACAAAATAAGGACAAATGTTTTGTTATGGGACCAAATGGCAAATGCTTTTCCAGATGCAAGAAGTTTCAATCCGATTGGTCCATCCGTCTCGGAGTAAGAAGCAAGACAAAATGTTTCTGTTTAAAATAAAAACGGGTAAAAAATGACAAATCACAAAATGTTTCTTTTACACGACCAACTGGCAGAAATATTCGACAAGATGCAAGAGGTTTCACTCCGATTCATCAAGCCATCCCGACGTAATCGACAAGTATACCTAAAAATCACTGTTTTTTGGTAAAAATACGGGTAAAAAATGACAAATTGCAAAAAGTCGTGATAATGGGACCCCGGGGGGGGGGGGGGGCATGCTCTACAAGTTGCAACAGGATTCATTCCAATTGGTCAAGCCATCTCGGCGTAATCGGTGAACAGACATTAGAAAAAAAAAATATATACATGTCGAATTGAGTGACCTCCTCCTTTTTGAAGTCGGTTAAAAATGTTGCGATTATATTTAGCAATTTTTTGTAATTGGATATCTCCTCTGAAGAGATATTTTAACTCTAATAAAATTTGTTAATGATTATATAAAATGAACTTATTAATTACATGGTTTTAAAATAATACTATTTAATGTAATATGATGCCATTCCTGTTTGCAACAATAAATAGATATGTGGAAAATGATGATTCCTTAGGAATTGTCCCTTTTAGGAAACTATATTTGAAAGAAAACAAAATTTGTACTTTTTGAAAATTACGACAGTATCATTAAATTAAAAAAATATGAAAACACATATTATAAATATAAAGTTAAATGAATATAAATATTGAGTATGTCACCTTATATAATTTCATATTGAAATAAAAATGCAAAACTCATTTTTAAAAAGGTATAGAAATGTAAAAAAGTTTATTTTTTTAACTTGAAGATTATTTTTTGAAAACTATCATCAATTCTAAATAAAATATATATTTATTTAAACTCCTCAAAAACTATTACAAATATTAAAATATCTCGAATACGAGTATAATAATACGGTCTCCTGCTTATTTTTATTATAAATAAATATGTTTATTAATTTTAACTGACAATGAATGAACTGTTTACATTAGACAGACTTTATCTAAAATAATAATCAGTTGTGTAATAAAGTAAACATACAAAATATAACAAACTAATAAAATACTCTTACAGTGTGTATGTTTATAGAATACTTTGTGAATCATTTCTATCTTAAACTATATATTTTATTTAAATTGTAGATTTTAGGAATATGATCATGTGTAGTCATGTAGTTTTAATTTATTAATTTGGAAACATGTATTAGCTTGTATTAAATTATAGCATCAGAAAAGTAATAATTACAAAACAACTTCTTTATGGAAATCAATGCTACTGATTGTCTGTTAGGTTATATTCTTTGTTAGAAAATTTGACAAAGCTATCAAATGAGTTTTAAATGCTTGATGAATATCATACAACAAACTTACAATTGAATTTTTAATAAGCTGTTTCTTCCATTGGATTAAATAACCACACCCGTAGGCTTTGTAAATTGTCTGCTACTGCTGATAATTAAAATTAAATTCAGCAAAAAAAAAAAAGGAAATTTTACAAAGTAATAAACTAAATACACGAAAAACGCAGTTAAATGCTTAACAGGCAAACGAATATAGCTACAGAAACGAATATAAATAAATTTGAAGGAACCGAGCAAATTGAATATATTGTTAATTTTTTAACAGCCAACGGCAATCTTTTTATAGCGCACCGTCCCTTCTTTTTAGCGATTAATGAAAACTCTGGAGTATACACGTTGTTGCGACCGCACAAAAAAATATGGTCACTATGTAGGGTACCGCTACGCAGCTCGTGAATAATTTAAAAGTAGGTAATTTACAACGTGGTTACGTCAAAGCAAGTAACTTATTGGCAAAATAAAATATAAATCTACGATGCTGGTCGGGAAAGTCTACGTACACCGTGGGCGTAGTATAAAATTTAAATCCTAAACTAAAAAGAAGTTTCTATCCAGATGTATGTCTATACTAATGTAGAATAATAGAGACGCTAGGCTTTAGGTTCTGGATAAACTTGAAACCGCTGGACATGCTTGGGTAGAAATTTCAGTAAAGTTTTCCTTGAAAACGCAGAGCTAACATAGTTTGTGTTTTATCGTGTTACATCAACAGAGGGCTGAACGTTGGATAAAAATGTTGATGAAAGTCAGAGACAAAAAAACACAACTGCATACCAAGGCTGGTATGTAAAAGAAATATACAGAAAATACGAGCGATTGTTCTACCTAAAATTTCATTCATAAACGAATCTG